AGATCCCTGAATCCGAGCTGGGATGCTCAGGCAGGGCCAGGGAGGAGGGATGGAGCAGGCAGGGATCCAAAGGAGAGGAGCAGAGCCCCAGGGAGCAGCAAAGCTGAGGCCACACAGGCCCCTGATGGGTCACCCCTGGGTGAGCCCTGCCCTGCCTTCACCTGGGGCAGGAGAAACCCCAAGAAAATCCTGACAGCAGAAAAAACCCTCAATTTTAATAATCTTAATAAATCATCTTAATAAAATCATCTCAATAAAACATCTCTCTGGATTCCTGGGAACAGCAACCGGCCTAGGAAACATCTCCACTCCAAGCTGCTTCCCCATCCCACCCTGATTCCCTACCCCAGCCAAGGCCTGTCCTACTGAAATCCCCTTTTTCCTGAGGTATCCTGCAAGCAGTGGGAGCAATCCAGAGCATTTCCCTGTATTTGCTCCCTGGCTGCCTCCTCTCCATGATTCCCATGTTTACAAACAATTGGGCTTCCAGCAGGGCAAGGCAAGGGTTTGTTATAAACACTGAACAGCAGGGAAATGTCAAGGGCAGGGAAAACAAAAATAAAAAGAGGGATTTGCACTTTGGTCTGATTCAGCCTTGAAGGTTTTGGGTCCTGGTGGGAGAGGCTGGGTGCTTCCAGACATGGCCAGGGAGGACAGGAGGTGTCATGGGGACATCAAACATCCTTTCCCAGGCAGCCAGGAGGGGAAATGTCCCTTCCCAGCAGCTTTTTCCCTTTGATCCAGGTGGGAAGTGGAACAGAGCTGGAACACCCCTTCCTCCTCCTCCTCCTCATCCCTGGCAGCCAAGGGAAGGAGAATTGTGGAGCAAAGGTGCCTCCAGGATAGCTGGGGAGGTGAGGAAACTCTCTCCAGGGCCACAAACGCTGGGTAAGTCACATCTGCAGGGTGGAAAACTCCATTTTCTGGGAGGGAAGAGACCCAGAGCTCAGTCCCAGCCATGGGAGATGCTCTCCATGCCCTGGGCTCCTCCAAGCCCAAATCCAGGTGTCTGTCCAGGCTCATTCCAGCCCCGGATCTGCTCAACTCTCCACGGGACAAGTCAGGGCATGAGGCAGCCTGAATTCCTTCCAGGCCTCTGTGCCTGTAGGAGGAAATGGGAGGATGGAGGAGGAAAATCCTGACAGGGGTAGAATTCCTTCGGTGACAGCTCACCTGGTTAAACTCATGCCTGGAGGCAAAGAGTTTCCAGCAGTGCCAGCAGAGCTGATCAGATAATGCTGGAGAAATCAGCTCCCAAACCACAAAAATGAGGTGGGTTTTGGTTTTTTTTCCCCCTTTTTTCAGGCTGAGTTCCTGCACAAATGACTGTAATTAAAGCTGTTACCTGTCAGTTCCTCAAGGCACTGAGGCTCCAGTGTTCAGGCTTTGGAAAAACGCATCCCTGCGTGGCAGCAGTCCCACTCATCCCTCAGCTTACTCATCCTGCCCAGCACCCACCCAGATTTGTCACCAATTAGTTGTAATTCAAGGATTCAGGGGGAAATCCCCACCTCCCTGAGCGAGGTGACTTCACAGGCAGTTAGGGCATGGAATGCCTTTTAAACAACAAAAAAATCATGGAAAAAAAAATCATGTGTGCCGGAGGCGAGGCCATGGGGTAGGGCTGCTGAGGCACACGGCGTTTCTCAGCCATCCAAAGGCTCCTGCAGAGCTTCCAGGAGAGGTTTGGTGGATTCCTTTGGAATTCATACATTATGGAAGAGCCTCAGCCCTGCCGTGTCACCGGCGTGTCTGCAGTGCTTGTTCCTCTCACATCACTGCAGCTCAGAAGTTCTGTGCGATTCCCAGATCACCCTAAAGAATGGGATCAGGCCACGATTCTCAGGGGTTTCTGTCAAACAGCACTGGGGGGTTTGTTCTGATGGACACCAGGGCCTGGGGAAGGTTCTTCCCCTCAGCAAAGGAGAGCACACAGCGCCAGCCTGGCACCGCTCCCAGCCTGGGAAAAGCTGATATTCCTTGGATTCTCCAAGGGGACCCAGCTCTGAGAAAGGCTGCTGGTGACACCTCGACACCACATCCCTGGAGCTGCAGGGAACCAGCCCCACCAGTGGTCAAGGATGCTCTGGGAAAGTTGGAGAATCATGGAATGGTTTGGGATGGAAGGGACCTTAAAGCTCATCCCATTCCCTGCCACGGGCAGCGACACCTTCCACTATCCCAGGTAGATCCAAGCCCCATCCAGCCTGGCCTTGGGCACTGCCAGGATCCAGGAGCAGCCACAGCTGCTCTGGGCACCCCGTGCCAGGGCCTGCCCACCCTGCCAGGGAACAATTCCTTCCCAAAATCCAGTCTAAATCTACCATCCTGCACCTTAAAGCCATTCCCTGGGTCCTGCCCCTCCATCCCTTGTCCCCAGTCCCTCTCCAGCTCTCCTGGAGCCCCTTCAGGCCCTGCAAGGGGCTCTGAGCTCTCCCTGGATCCTTCTCCTCTCCAGGTGAACATTCCCAGCTCTCCCAGCCCGGCTCCAGAGCAGAGGGGCTCCAGCCCTTGGAGCATCTCCGTGGTCTCGTCTGGCCTCTCTCCAGCACCTCCCCATCCTCCTGCTGGATCCGCCAGCCCCGGCAGCATCCCTCCGGGTGGGCTCCCAGCAGCCCAAAGCAATCCCCGCTCCCCGCTCCATCCGCGCCCCCCAAAGCGCTCCGCACTCACCGAGGCGGGGCTGGCCCGCGGCTTGCGCTGCTGCTCCCGGCACTGCAGCCCGGCCAGGTGCCTCTCCAGGGCTGCCCAGTCCATGGCCGGGGGCTGCGGGTCCCGGGGGGGCCTGGTCCCCGCGCTCCGCCGCCCGCCGGGCCCCGCGGCCGCTCCGCGCCGCCGCTGCGGGGGCTCCGAGCGGGGCGGGGGCCGCGGGCGGGGGCAGCGCCGGGCAGCGCCGGCCCCGGGGCCGCAGCGGCGCCCATGGGCGGCCGGGCAGCGCCCCGGGGACCCCCCGTCCTCCTCCTCTTCCTCCTCCTCCTCCGAGTCGTCCAGCGCCGCCAGGTCCAGGCTGCTGGGGGACGGCGAGGACTTGCCCTCCGAGCACGGCGTGGCTTTGCTGGAGTTGGATTCCGAGCTGGAGCGGCTGCTGCCGGCGTCGCTGCCTAAATCCATGCCATCCTCCCGGGAATCCTGGCGGAGAGAAGCGGAGGGCAGGCGTGTCAGGGATGCCCGGAGCGCTGCTGCCCGCCGGGCACGGGAAACGCCGGCCCGGGGCCGCCCCCGCGCTCCGGAGCTGCCGCCGGCCCCGGGCGGAGCGGGCGGGGGCGGAGCGGGGCCGGGCTCCGGCTCCGCCGCTCGGGAGCTGCGGGAAACGCCGGCTGCCGGCAAGGAACCGCCGCTCCGAGCGGCAGAAAATCCCATCTTCTTGGTGTTTTAGTTAATTGTTCTTGTTTTGGTTTTATTATTGTTATTGGTTTTTTGTAGCTTGGGTGTTAGCTGGTGGTGTTGTAGTAGGTATTGTAACTGTTTTTTCGTTGTACAAAATAAATGGTTGTTACTCTTTATTTCAGCGGTTGTTGGGTCGGGACGATCCCAAGCGATCCCAAGCATAAATCCAGGCTGGTTAGAGGATGGATGGAATCAGCCCGGAGGGAAAGGGTTTGGGGATGTTGGTGGAAGAGGAGCTCAGCCTGCCCCGGCCACCGGCACTGACAGCCCCAAAATCCCCCCCGTGCTGGGCTGGGCCCCAGCGAGGGCAGCAGGAGAGGGGGGATTGTGTCCCTCTGCGCCGCTCAGGCGAGACCCCACCCGCTGAACTGCCCCCACATCTGGGGGCTCCAGCAGGAGGATGTGGAGAGAGGCCGGAGGAGCCCAGGGAGATGCTCCAAGGGCTGGAGCCCCTCTGGAGTCGGGCTGGGAGAGCTGGGAATTTTCACCTGGAGAGGAGAAGGATCCAAGGAGAGCTCAGAGCCCCTTGCAGGGCCTGAAGGGGCTCCAGGAGAGCTGGAGAGGGACTGGGGACAAGGGATGGAGGGACAGGAGCCAGGGAATGGCTCCCAGTGCCAGAGGGCAGGGATGGATGGGATCTTGGGCAGGAATTCCCGGCTGGGAGGACGGGGAAGGACTGGGATGGAATTCCCAGAGCAGCTGGGGCTGCCCCTGGATCCTGGCAGTGCCCAAGGCCAGGCTGGACATTGGGGCTTGGATCTACCCAGGACAGTGGGAGGTGTCCCTGCCATGGCTGGGGTGGGATGGGATGAGCTTTGAGGTCCCCTCCAACCCAAACAATTCCATGATTTTATGACCGGCTTTGACGAGGGGGTGGCGTGTGGGGCTGTGGGTGACTGCAGGAAGTGACAGCAGTGACATCCTCCCTCCCACGGCCCCAGGGACCACAGGGCTCAAATCCCTGCTTCCACCCTCTCCCTTTCTTTCCTTCTCTAAAAGTAATTTAAACTAACTCGTTAAGAGTTGCCTATAAATAACTCCGCTAAAAAAAACTAATCTAGTTTCTGTATTCTGGGTCACCGAAGCCAAGTTTAACACGCAAATGTTCCCATTCCCAAATCCACGGCAAGGAGACCTTTTAAGGAGGTGTGGCTGAAATGGGGAGCATCAATCACATGGGTCGGGAGATTCCACAGAGGGTTTGGGAGATGTGGCAGCGCCCAGCTGCCCTCTGATCCCTGCAATACCAAACCTCTGGATATGGAGGGGGAGAGTTCGGGGCTGGGGGAGAACCAGCAACTCTTAATTAGAATGATATCGAAACATTGCATTGGCTCAGGAGCTGATTCTGTGGCAGGATTTTGTGTAAGAAACACAGGTCAGCCAGCGACAATCAAAACATCTCTGTGTTATCAACTCTGTCTCCAGCCCAAATCCAAAACACAATTCCAGCCTTATTTAATTAACTCCACCCCAAAGGCATCCCGGGGGGGTAAGAATTCCCTGTTGTGCAGGGTGGGGGCGATGCCAAGGGCAGAGGTGGGCATGGCACAGACCCCCGGGGCACAGCTCAGCCCCTTGGTGCTTCCCCACGGCCTGGGTTGGTCAGGAATTCCAAAGGGGTGAGAGGGGAACATCTGCAGCCTGTTAACTCCTGGCACTTCTGAACTGCTCACCCCGAGGAGACAGAGGGGAGGGGAGCGGAGGGGAGGGGAGAGGAGGGGAGGTGAAGCCTCCTGTGCCACCTCTGACCCCACATTCCCCTCCTGGGGCATCCTGGGAGTACCAAAACCCGCCGACATCAGATGGGAAAAACATCGGGAACAGGGCACAGACTGGGGCTGAGAGGTTTCAGTGCCCTGAGTCATCCCCTCTCCTCCCTGGGATGGGAATCACCGACTCATGGAAAGGTCTGGGCTGGAAAGGAACTTAAAACTCATCTTGTCCCTGTCCTGCCATGGCAGGGACACCTCCCACTGTCCCAGGCTGCTCCAAGCCCCATCCAGCCTGGCCTTGGGCACTTCCAGGGATCCAGGGGCAGCCCCAGCTGCTCTGGGAATTCCACCCCAGCTCCTCCCCACCCTTAGAGGGAGGAATTCCTTCCCAATATCCCTGTGGCAGTGGGAAGCCGTTCCCCCTTGATCTGCCACTACATACCCTGGTTAAAAATCCCTTTCCAGCTTTTCTGTAGGAGACTCCAACTCCCAGGTGCAGCTTTAGAGGGATAAATGGACTGGGATACACAGGGAATAGCACATGGCTTATTTGGGATTAACCTTTCCCTTGAGGTGTCTCCTCCAGGTGCTCAGCCTGGATTATCCCCATTTTCTCTCCTGACCCCCAGGAGCAGCTGAATCCCTCCCTTTTGCCAGCTGATCCCTGCTTCCCTCCCAGACTGCCTGCTGGCTGAAACTCCACAAAATCAGGAACTACAAAGTGCAGTTTTAAAAATAATCCCAGCAAATGGCAGGAAGGAGCAAAATCCCAGAGATGAATTACACAGGGAAAAGGTTTCACCACAAGGTTAGGAGGGGGTGGCATTTGACACAATTTTTATGGTGCAATTCTTTATTTGGGGCTGGTTTCACGTCACCACCAGCCCCAAAAGGAATTTTTCGCTGAGCAAAGGAGGAGCTGCCTCACTGCTCCCAGGAAAATCTGATTTATAGGATCTTCACTGGGGAACTTTCTTTCCTTCAACGCCACGAGTGCACTGATAACGTTTTGTGGAGGATAAGAGCACTTCCCTCTCCCTGAATTTCCCAGTGTGGACATCTGGAATGGCATGAAATGAGTGGCAGGCGCTTCCCATTCCCAATTTTCCTGTTTTAGTGGGATAAAGCCGTTCCATTCAACGAAGCGCCTTCATTCAATTCACGCTTTAAGGTGCCAGTCCTCACAAAATCCCTCCCTGCTGCCCTGTCCTCAGACAAATTTATTTTCTTAAAAGGTTTAACACATCATACACATGATTTTTCCAAGTTTCTATTTCTTTTTTTATTTCTCACTGCAAACAGATCCAGTAATTTTAACCTCATAATAAACCCTTTCCACTTCTAATTATACACAGGGAACACATTTCTGCTTGACCCAGCTCTTGATATTCCAAATGGCATTTCTCTCTCTCACAAACCCTTTTCCAAAACCATGGAAAACTTGGGATTTGTAGGGATTGTCAAAGGTGTGAACACAAACCCTTGGAGCTGAGGGAATCTGTTTGACAGCTCTTTTATTCAGTGCAAAGGAGGTTGAACACAAACAAGGCTTGTGGGGTTGATTCTGAGGCAGAAATATATCACAAAAGTAAGATTCTTATTCTTTTCCTGGGGCTGGTTTAAAAGGCACTTTGCTGATTTTCATAAACTATTAAATTGATTTGACTTTTCTATTTTGGCACTGCTGTAACCCCGTTCTAAAATGGGTTTCTTGCATTCTCTCCTGCTAAATTGCGGAAGTTTTTGGGTCAGAGAAGGAGGAAAGCAGGGAAGTCACAACCACCCTTAAAACACCATAAATCCCTAAATATGGGAACATTTCTGCCAGCTGGGTCTTTATCCCAACACCCTCATGTCCACCCAGAGATCCCCATTTGTGTTTTTACTTTAAAAATTGGGTTTGGGGTTTTTTTCCCTTCTACTGACTCCCACACAGAGCTGAGCATTGTCCCTGCCCAGGTGGGATTTGCCAGGGAAATGATGCTGGGATAAAAATATCCCCAGGATAAAGCAGGAAAGGGAAGTTTCCTCTGAACACAAAGAATTTCCCTTTCCTGAAAAGGACTGCACTGAGATCAGGGCACATTTCCTTTTCCTGCTGCAACCCCTCTGTGAATATTCCTGGGTTTTGTGATTCCATGGGCAGGAAAAAAGCTGTCAGAGTTCACCTGGGATAGTGGGAGCTGCCCCTGCCCAGGGGATTGGAACTGGATGAGCTTTAAGATCTTTTCCAGCCCAAACTGTCGTGGAATTCTGTGATTTCATGGTTCTGGGATAAATATTCAGGCAGAGTGGAATATTCTACAGCTTATCCATACAGAAAAGTTGTCGCCTCTCCAAAAATCCCAATAACACCCTGCAGTCCCTGTGCACTCTGATTATCCCAATCCCTGCCTTTGGGATTAGGAGCACTGGGATGCTGCACTGCTCCAGGTTTTCCAGCCCTGTGCATCCCTGAGATTCCAGCAACAAACCCAACACCACCCCCAAAACGCCAAATTAAGGCAAATTAATTTAAAAATAGACACGGTGGGGACTGACCTGCAGCTCCTTGGGGTGCAGGGATAGGATCCATGCAGCTGCATTCCCCTCTGGAATGCTGCATCCTCTGGCGGGGAGCTGGAGGACACAGGGCTGCCATGGCAAAACCCCCGTGGGCATTGCTCCTGCACCGCCTGCATTTGTGCCTTTAACTCCTTAAATTTAGCAAATTCAATCTAGCCAATTAATCCTTTGCTTAATTTAGATGGGGACTGATGGGGAGGGAAATCACAGCACGACTCAGAGCGATGGCACTGCCACCAAAGCCCTGCTGGTGGCTCAGGAGGGGGACACGGGCAGCATCCCAAAACTGGTCCCTCTTAGGCCACGCTCAGCGTTTTGGGATCTGGCAGTCCCCAGCTCTCCAAACTGGGATTTGATGTTTGCTGGGATGGCTCCACCTCTGCTAGGCCTTCCCTGACTCCCAGAAGTTTCTCCCACATCCTAAAACACCCACAAAGTCCACGTTGATTCTTTCCCTTTGGA